GTAACTAGATGTTACATTTTAAGTAAAGAAGTAAAAGTATAATTTTTGCTTTAAAATGTAACAAAATAAAAGTCAAAGTTACTATTTAAAAATATTCGTAAAATTACAAATCCACAAAAAACTACTTAAGTACTGTAACAAAGTAAATGCACTTATTTACTATAAATCTCTGACATCAGGCTATATATCTGATTTGATCCAGTCAGAGGGGCTGCAGGCCAATTCAAATTCAAGGATGTAAAGCAAAACTAAAACACCATGAAGCAATTACATCCCACTGTAAGTTATTAACTGAATAATCTGAAATGATTGCATGATTCAAGGAAGATTTATGGTTTGTGTTCATTGGCTTCAGTTTGTTGTTGTCATGTTGCTTTTTCCAAAGTGTTGTGAATGATAAAAATCAGAATGATTTTATTATTTTGATGTAAAATTTTTAGATAGATCAACAGACAGTGTCATAATGACCACAAAGTAAAATCTTTTTTTAGTCTATTTGTTTCTGAGCTCCTGTAGCGCCTCCTAGAGGGCAACAGCTGAAACTGGTAGAACCTCCAGAGGTAGTAGAAGCTGGAGAGGTCCAATTTTTTTCATTTTATACCAACAACAGACATCAAATGAAGTCATTTCAATAAATCTTCCTTGTTCTGTGTGCCATTGGATCAGGTGCCACCATCCCAGCCAACACCAAACACGGATCTCGTTTCGAAGTCTTCAAAAACGGAACTTTCGTGGTCAAGAACATCCAACTTCAGGATCGAGGACAGTACCTCTGCACGGCACGCAATCAGTTTGGATCAGATCGAATGGTCGTTACTTTAACCGTCCAGACCGAGTCCCCCAAAATACAAGCACCCGAGTCCGCGGAGATAGCAACCTACCTGGGAAAAAATGTTTCTTTTGACTGCCTCGCGTCTGGAAAACCACCAGCTCAAATTTCCTGGATCCTCCCGGACAGAACGTTTGTTCGAGAAGCTGGAAGCATTCACACACTCCTCTCTCCCATGTCCCTGCTTCAGAATGGAACCCTGAAAATCCACCCTGCCAATTTCTCCAGCAAAGGAGACTATAAATGTATCGCAAGCAACGCAGCAGGTGCTGATACAGTCACCTATCGCCTCCATGTGGCAGCTCTGCCTCCAAGCATAGGTGGAGAGACCCAGGAAACTGTGACTGTCCAACAAGGTACGACAGAAACAAGGCAGATGCTAATTGGGAAACTGCATGGTTTGTGTCTGAAAATGTGTTTATTGAATGTTATTCTGAGCTGTTTAAACTCCATGTGAGCAGGCAGGAGTGTATATGTCCACTGCTCGGTGAAGGGGGAACCGGTTCCTGCTCTGAAATGGATGCTCCCAGCGGGCCTCTTCATCAAACCATCACAGTTTCTGGGACACAGGCTGTTTGTCTTCCCCAACGGGACTTTACTTGTAAACAACGTGTTGCCTTCTGAGGGTGGAAGGTAAGAAATGCCAATTTCTTTCAGTTTTAGTGTGTTTGTCAAATTTAGGATTGAATTAAGCACTTCCTAGTTGTACACCTGTGCTGTGGCTGTGCACGTCGCCACGTGCAGAGAAGTTAAAAGAAAAGCTGCCAAGAACATTCATCATTCATATTATTCTTCATACCTTTAATTTCCCTGCTGAACGTAGCGGGAGTCACATGACTGAAATGATCCAATAGCAGTACAGAACAGACAGCACTTCTATCCTTCATAGATCTACAGTACAGCGAAGTGCTGGCCTGACAGCTAATCCATCTGTCCTCTGATTGGATTGTGAAATTTTTGATTGATAAGACATTGATTAATCAGCTGGAGGCAGAAAAACAGTCAAAATTTGTACTTGTAAACTGAAACTCATGCATAAACAAATTGATTTATTTACATACACCTTCCTCCATCCATATTTTCAGTTACAGCTGAGTCATTTTTGTGTTCCCCTCTCTGTCATGTGGATGGAGGACCTCAGTGACGAGAGGAGAATGTGTAGTGCTGAGCTAATACATATGTGGTATGGCGTCAGGGCTAAAGCTAACAGGCTAAGCTGAGGTTCTTCTTCCATGAAGCAGCTCTGTTG